GATGCAACACTTCATTCCTCATACAATTTTCACCCATTTGTTTTAGCATCAATTAATGTTTCTTGCCTGAATTATTAAGAAGATGGTTGCCAAGTAGTGATTGTCTATATTCCACCATCCCTTTTATTTTTATTAATTGGCATTCTACTTATAATAAAGCCTTTTCTTCTCCAAATAAATTGAATACGTTCGTGTATCTCATTATTATCCCTGTGCAATAAAATATTCCTGCTTTGTACAGTTAAGATAATCTGTTAGCATCATTTTTAATTTTTATTCTTAAATTGTTCCAGATTTAGTTAATAAGAGCTTCTTCAAGCTGGCTTCTATGTTCTTTTGACACGTACCTATTTTCCTTTGTCCATTTTCTTACTGTCGGGCATAATAAGATTTTCCAGGTTCATCCTGTACTTTCCTAGCCTCAAGACTTGATTCAACAATTTCTCCAAGGATGCCTGGTTCCATTGAATGGAGAATGGAATTTACAACCCCAAATATGGTCACTTAGTAACCTCATTGCTATTGGGGTGCTGCTATTCCCAGGCCTTCACGGTAAGGCAGAGTGAGGGGAAAAATGTATACATTTATGCAAATGTTAATACACACAGATCTATACTTATTCTTGTGACATTTATATCTATTTCTATTATTCAAAGTCATGAGATCACATTAATACCTCCAATTTCTTTCCAGTACCACAAGGTTCATTCTACCTTTTTTCTTTTTTATATTTGTAGCTTCCATCTCTATCAGTGAGTAAGTTGGCTTGCACTTTTTTCAGTTTATTTACTTATTTTCTCAATACTCCCCTACCTGTGTGTAATGAGTTTCCCAATCCTGCCAGGTGACTAGCTGATACTCTCCAGGACAAGTGGATTTCAGGGTTACAGATGTGGCTGAAAAGTGTGGGGCAGGGTACCTGAAAAAGCAACTTGTGCAGCAGCAAGTGTATGAATAATGCAGGCTGTGAGTGACCATACATTTAACACAAGTCCACCTCATGACATAAGCCAAATCAGTTAGCAAAATTCAGACCATGTGGTTAGAGGTCCTTTGAGCTAAACAAAGAAAGTGATAATGTGGTTCTCTTCCACTTGGAGTGGGTCAGACAACATTTGGAGAAATGCTGTGAATTTGGATGGCCACATATTCAGTACATATAGATTTAAAAATCCTTTGGAGATTTTTATGAAGGCCCTGTTATTTTGTTTTTTAATAGTTTAGGATTTTACTTTTTTGTGAGTATGCTTGGGCCTGAACCAAGATATAGGACTGCACTGAGCACCCTGACTACCAATAATTTTCAAATAATTATTCTACGTACTTAATGGAAATGGGAAACACTAAAATTGTATACTTCTGTATGTTGAAAATAAATTTATTATGATGTTCCACATCATATAATCTCTTAGAAACTAAGTTAAACTGCTTACAATATAGACAAATAAATCACTTAATCGTAACAAGAAGCTATATGCCAGTTAATTATTCAGTTTCAGAATTTCTGACTGTCAAATTCTTTGACTGTTAAGTGGTTGGCCTTAGGGTTTGAGATGGCTTTTGTTTACACCATACATCTTGCCTGTGTATGTTGCAAAACTACTCTCCTTTGGTGGGAGCCAAACCATGTCACAGTTAAGGAGCTGTGTGTGGAAGTCTATAGTAAATAGGTTTATAGTGCTAGTTTATTGAAGCAGTGTCAATCATACCTTATAGATTGAGGCCCAGTTTGCCTTACTTGCCAGTCCTGAATAAGCCAATAGAATACTGAAAGTGTTACATCTCACAAAAATATCAAAGAGTTGTGGAATGTAAATCACCACTACCATTTTTACCTTACATCGTCATATTATCTGATTAAAATGTCATTACCCAAGACTCCAATGCCATGATTTCTAGGAATCATTTTACAATGCCTCAAAACATCTTAAATCATTTTTTAAAGGTAGTGTAAGCTTATGCTATTAAATCACCTGGAAACAAGATTTATTTTAAGTAGTTTTGAAATACTATATTGTGTGCAGCACGTTATAAGCTTCTCTAATGATAAAATGTTAGGAATAAATAAATAAAAATGTGTGGTTGGCTGGTGTAGCTCAGTGGATTGAGTGCCAGCCTGCAAACCAAAAGGTTGCCAGTTCAATTCCCAGTCAGGACACATGCCTGGGTTGCAGGCCAGGTCCCCAGTGGGGGGCACACAAGAGGCAACCACACATTGATGTTTCTCTCCCTCTCTTTCTCCCTCCCTTCCCCTTTCTCTAAAAATAAATAAAATCTTTCTACAAAGTAAAAAAAATTGTTAAAAAAAGAAAGAAACTAAGAAATGAACTAAATAAATAAGATATACAGGTAAAAAAACAGGATACCAGTATTCTCAGGAATAGTATATGTTACCTTTGCTACTTTTTCAAATAAAATTCTTGTGCTCTCTTTAAAGTGACTTACTCTAGTATGTGTTTTTTTAAACATTCCTCATTTTAAAAATCTGTAAAGGGGACATAATGTCAAGCCTTATAGATTTTCAAAACTAAAGTAAACCTATGTCACCAACTCAAGTACCTCAGCATGCACAAAAACAAAAAAAAAGAAAGAAATCACAAAAAAGCACAGATAAAACTTGGAGACACCTAACCATTTCAATGTGTGATTGAAAAAAAGAAAGTTTTAGCTTATGTCATTGTTTCTATAATGTAGCACAGGAATTAAATATGTAATAAATCATTTGTGCCTCTTCTGCGGATTCCTGGCTAAATTCAGATTTCCAGTTCCTCCTCTGATTTCCTCAGCAGGTTTGTTTGTTTGTTCATTTGTTTCATTGCTGTCCTGAGCAGTTCTTACATGAACCAGTGATCAAAGTGCTGGAAGCTTTGAGGAGAAGGTTAGGCCAATAATATCCCTTTTACACTAGGTTTACTGGTTTTCTAGCACAGGAAGAGACAGGCAACCACAAGCTAGTGAGATTTTCCCATTTTGTGAAGTATGTGTAATTCTAATCTCAAAACTAAGGCTCTATAAAGATCAAAATTATTGTATAAGGGTCTGCTTTTCTTAAAAGAGAACTTATCCATTTTTTCCCTCCAATTATTTAAAGTACATGCCAGTCCTTAAAAACTAACTCATTGCTATGTATAGGGATATATGTAATATGTCACCAAGAAATTGACGAAATACAAAGCATATAATTTTGTCATTTTTTTTTTTTAGTGAGGAGGTCTAACAATTTTATGAGAAAATTTTCTTAACATTACTTAAAATTCTTCAAAGCAGAACTAGCTTGTGAGCATTTTTTAAAATGAGGATGTGATAAATATAGTTTTATTTTCTGTAAGTATGTAGAAAGTTTACATGTATTCCTAACCTCTATTGTTACTTGAAGAGACTTTTCAGAATTTTAAAATATGTTAAATGAAAATAGCATCTATTAAAAACATTTCACTTATCCTACCTGGTCAATTGTACTTTATATTTTAAGAGAGTAGGAACACTCTAAATGTAAATATTTATCTTATGTTTATTTTGATGTAATTAATACACTGTTCCACAAGAGGTTATTATGCTTCTACTTTTTAAAAATATACTTATAGCATTACCTATATTTTCCAATTATTTCACTAACGATGAAGAAAAGAATTCTAGCAGCTCCAGCAATTTTACATTGTTTTTGGATATGGTCTTCCTTTGCTAACGCTTTCAGCAGAGACAAGAATCAAGACATATATTGCAGGATGTTAGGACGCTAACAACAGTGAGTTTCTGTAGAAACTATGGTCCTATCGTTCAAGACAGTACGTTAAAGTTGAGCAGGAAAACTTAAGAAATCATGCAGTCTTACATATTTCAAACCCGTCTCTCCCAGAGAAAAGACCTATCTGAGCTCACGCCCTTGTCACCCTCTTCCCTTTTGTATTGGGGTATTACTTTGCATAATTGTTTTCTCTGTAGTTCTCACTCTCCCGGGTCCTCGAGAAGCTTCTCCAGTCTCGGTATCTCTTCCCCATGCGGAGCATCAGCCTTACTCTACGGTCAGGGGCGTGTAACCCCCAAGAATGGCCACAACTGTTTTTTGGGAGGAGGGATAGGGACTGTATCTGGACCCACCCAAGTCCCCTCGCCCCGCCTGCAGGTACCCATGTGGGTGGCTGGACCTGGAGGAGGGACCAGGGCTGTCCCTCCCCGCTGGCCTCAGCATCTGCCCAGCGCCCCGGCAGCCAGTGGGACACTTGACCCCTGCCAGGTTTCTGTTTCCCATTCTCTTTTTCTCGAGTCCTCCTGCTCTTCCTTTCTCCTACTGTATTTTTATCTTCAGTTCTTTTTGGCAAGAGAACACAGCACAGAGCTACGTCTCCTTCCCACAAATACGTGTATGCTTTTCCCAAACCTCTCTCCTCCCCTTTTCTCCCTCTCATCCAGGTAGGGTCTGCAATGCAAAGGACCCTCCTCCCATCCAGACACCAATGTCAGCGTCTCAGTTTGACAATTTTTTTCAACACATCCGCGCCTACCGGAGCCAGTTCCTTACCAGTTCCACTTTCTCCCTGTTAACCGTGTTTCTTTCCACTGCTAAGCACCTCTTCCACCTATTCGGATTCCACAACTGCCCACATTTTTTTAAAAAAATCCAATATGCAAGAGAGTGTGAATTCCAGGAAGAGTGTGTGTGTGTGTGTGTGTGTGTGTGTGTGTGTGTGTGTACACGCGCGCGCATGCCATCCCTCTGTCTGTCAGGGTCCTGGGCATGTGGCTTCTAGGTGCTGCTGGACAGTCGGACGGCTCAAACTTCTGCCAGGCTAAGGCTGGACCCTGCCGAGCTCACCTGTCTGCAACCAGGTAACCAGGGAAGTGCTAGCCAGGCTGTGTTCCAGGACACCTGGCCCCGAAAAGAGCGATAGCAGTGACCTGGAGCCACAGGGGCGCCCCTCCTTCATGGTTGTTCTCTATCCCTCCTTCCCTCCAACGTGTTCTGCTTTTCTCTGGGCACCCCTTCCTCCACAGCGCCTTACCTCAAACAGGGGACCAATCTTGTTCTTCTCCAGGTAAGCCTGGATCCGGGACTGCTGATACGACGCCATGGAGGGACAGCAGGGGCCAGCGCAGAGTGTGGACAGAAGGGCGCCTCCGCGGGGGGCCCACCCACCTTCTCCCTGGACTGGGGTGGGGACAGGAGCTAGCGAGCCTGGGCTCCCGGAGCGTGGCGGGCTCGGCCTGGCCGTGGGCGTGGGCTGCAGCCACGCGAGCAGTGAGTGTGGGGCTCTGAGAGCCGGAAACCCCGCACGGCACCGGCACCGCCAACTCAGACAACTCGGAGACGTGGGGGGAACTCATTCATCGCGCTCTCCTGCTGCACCCGCCCCCACGGCTCTCCCTCCCGGCAGCGCTGGCTCCGGAGCTGACGCTGGGGAATTGGAGCCGCGGTGCCTTGCTTCTCTGGGCGGCAGCAGCAAGGATCAGGGGTTGGGAAGCTAGCCGGGAGCTGCTGCTCCGCCCAGAGCGGCACCTGGGGGCGCCCTCCGAGGACAGGGGCCTCAGGGCTCTAACTCAACTCGCAGGAGTGTACGAGTGTAGAATGCGTGTGCCCCTCTTCTAGGTTGCAACAACAAACAACCTGGACTTATCCCCAGCTTGTGCTCGCCCTGCCCGCTGCTCCCTAGCGACAGCTCCGCTCAAAAAGCCAATGGTTAAGGGGCTTCTTTCAAAGTGCTTATAAATCTGGTGCTTGTTGGCTACTCTTCGACAGCTGCAAATACAGATCTCAAGGGGGTCGTCCCTACCGCCCCATCGGAACTTCTCCTTTCCACCTCCTGCTCTGCCTACGGTGGTTCACAGTCCGAGAAGAGCAGAGTTGTGAGAAGATGCATGGGGTCTGAGGGTTCGCGACGAAAATGAAGTTGCCTTGCTTTGGAAAATCTGGCTTGGCTTGGAGCAAACCTACTGTAGGCTGAGGACCCAGCAGAAAACTCCCAAAGGTTGGGAGCAACTCTTCAGCGTCTGACTGGAAGAAGAGATAAAAGCAAGCCAGCCCCCCGCCCCGCTTCCAAGTCCGCCTTCCTAATCCACATATAATTATGTCTATATATAATTATATAACTACATCTCAGGTGCTACCCTATTCCACTTAACAATGATCCTTCTAGATATTACATGAACTCCTCAAATTTAGCCAATACCTTTTTATCATGGAGAGATTTTTCAAGTTTAAGATGTACAAACACAGAGTTTTCTTCACAGAGCCCTTTTTCTTGTGAAGAAAACCATTGAGACTTCCCATGACAATTTCCCTGGCTCCTAAACATGACGTACTACCAAAATAAAAAGATTTATATTAGTAAATATGAAGGTTTAGAATAAAGGGAATAATAGCATTTGAAGCAGACTTCAACTGTACAGATTTCTTTTTCTTCACTATGTTCTTAATGGCTGTAATTTATCATTTTTTATTGGTGTCAGTGTTTTTTCATCTGCATTTTAAATCATCGGTCCTCAACATTTTTGGCACCAGGGCCACAGGTGGGTGTGGGGGACAGGGGACAGGAGGCTGAGCTCAGGAACTCAGGCCTTAATGGGAGGAAGCTTCTCTCCCTTGCCTGCTCTCACCTCCTGCTGTGCAGCCTAGTTCCTAACAGGCCACAGACCATCCTGTATGTCCTGACATATGTCCTCAGTGTCCTGGGGTTTGGGGACCCATGATTTAAATGATATACTTATGTGGAAACATGCAATAGTTAAGGTAAGAATGGACTATCTAAGAAAGTAATGTTAATTCCATTTAAATAATTCAGATCTAAGAAATCTGCCAGGATACCTAAGAGTTTAACTATGACTGATAGCCTGAAATTGATATGAATTGGAGTGGGAAGATGCCCAAGTTATTACTTTGACAATCAGACTCAATGGTCTGCTGAGGGAGAGTTAAATTGAATAGCAATGAGATGTACAGCCTGTCACAAGTTTTCTTTCCATTGTAGATCAGAATGTACTAACATTTTTTAAACATGTTCAGGACAAATTACATATACAGAGTGAATTTAAACACTTTTACTTGCTACAAGGTATGGTGTAGAGCCATCTATGTTCCAGGTGAGAAGTATTTTTGATATCACATAGTACTAGAGAATCAGAGTGGTGCCTCTCTGAAATCAAGGGCTGGCATCCTCTAGGACACATTAGCAAGATGCTTTTTTAAATCTGATAATTAACATACTTATTAAGTTTTTACCATGTTCAAAGCACTGCACCTAGGGCTTTGAATAGAAAAGACAAAGCTTCACTGGCAAAATACTTATGTATTAAAGAATCATGAAGAGACATACATTTATGTAAGTTAATACACTGAATAGCCCTGGCTGGGTTGGAACATCATCCCATGCACCAAAAGGCTGTGGGTTCAATTCCAATCAGGGTGCATACGTAGTTTGTGGGTTCAGTCTCTGGTCTGGACACATACAGGAGGCAGCCAATTGATGTTTCTCTCTCACATTGATCTTCCTCTTTTCCCCTCTCCCCCTTCCTCTCTCTGAAAAAAATAAATATATCCTCAGGTGAGGATTTAAAAATATTAATATACTGGATATACCAAAATTACATTTTTAAAATTCAGGAAATATTTCAAAAGTTTTTCAAGGCCTACCTCAAATGCCAATTCCTCTACAAAGCATTTCTTGGTTCTTTCGACTTATCTCCAAACCTGACTTCATTACTCATAAATATTTATTGCACAGCCTCCCCATGGCAGACATTACATTAGGACTGAGGATGCAAAGGTGAAAGGCCTTGTCTTTGTTCTCAGGTGCTCAGTCTTGTTGAAGCAATTGGCGCAGACAGAAATAATGACAGAAGAATACATAGTACTAATATAGTAGATGTATAAAACATGCTGTGAATGTATGATAATGGAAAATTACCTGTGTCAGGATCAAGAAACGTCTGTAAAGAAAATGGTGTTTAAGCAATATGTTAAACAAAAATTAAGTTTTGAAATTTTTCAGATAGAATTGGAGTGAGGATAAAGATAATATTATGTCTTTTAGCATAAAAAAAGACCATGTGCAAAGGCACAAACACAAAACAGACTGGTGTTCAGAGAAACATAGGGTATATATGGAGAAAGACTGGTGTGTGAAGTTAAAAATGTAAGCAGTGCTCAATTCATTAAAAGTCTTAAATGCCTTGTTAAAAAGTACAGGCTTGCATATTCCAGACAGTGAGAAGTGACTGAAGAGCTTTGAGCAGAGGAGTATTATACATAGTCAGGTAAAAGTTTTAGGAAGATTGCTTTGGTTACAACATTCATGATAGGTTAAAGAAGAATTATATGACAATAGCAAAACCAGTTGGGGTTACAGAATCCATAAACAAATTGTGAGGGCCAGTCTTTGGACTGGGGATGTGGATAGAGAGGATGCAACATGTTCAAGAAATATTTGAAGACTAATTTGTTGAGTAACTATATGTAGGATGAAGTTGAAAGATGGAATCGAAGATGGCTTTCTGATTTCTGCAGTGAAGCTAAGAGATTATAAATGATTTGCCCAGGTCACACAATGAATAATTGACAAGGCCAGGTTTGATTCAGGTTTTTCTAATTCCAGAGCTGAAGCTACTCTAATTTTCTACTCAGTATCCTGAAAATTACTATATTTTGCCATGTACAGTGTGCACCCACATTTTTGGCCCAAACTTTCAGGAAAAAAAATCTTTCATTTCAATTTTTTAAAAACATTTTTTATTGTTGCTCAATTATGGTTTTCCCCATCTTGCCCCATTACTCTCCTCTGCCGTGCCTATCCCCACTCTCCTACATTCAGTCCTCTCCCCCACCATTGTCCGTGCCCATGGGTCCTTTATACACGTTCCCTGACTTGACCTTTCTCTTTCTTTCCCCCATCACCCTCCTTGCCCCTCCCCCCTCCCCTCGGGTCACTGTCAATTTGTTCTTTATTTCAATGCCTCCGGTTCTATTTTGCTTGCTTGTTTATTTTGCTCAAAAGTTCCACTTACAGGTTAGATCATATGGTATTTGTCTTTCCCCACCTGGCTTATTTCACTTAACATAATACTCTCCAGTTTCATTTTAATTTTTTATTCAATTTTTTATTTAGTTATATTTAGAAACAAAACAAATTATCATATTCCAGGGTATTGTTTTGCATATGGATATCATTACTGCTTTCTAGAGTTACACTGTTAATGCATAAGCATAAATAAAAGAATTAAAAATATTTATATAGATACAGAATTACTATTACCCATGTATAATGCACATCCTTATATTTCTCTCAAAAATTTAGGCAAAAAAGTTCATATTATACATGGCAAAATACAATAGTCAAGAATTTAGTTTGCAGATATCACTGTCCCTTAGTGAGAAGCGTTGTCTTGTGACCTGGCACATAGTAGGCACTCAATTAATTGCAGTTGGATGAATTAATTACACTTTAATGGATCAATTCAATTCAGCTATTTTATTAAGGCTAAATTTTATCTTTGATACGTGGCATTTATATTATATTTTGTTCCATTTAATTAATTACATGTATATCTTGGTCCATCTTTTATTTTAAATAGCAAACTCTCTAAAGTATGAACTGTATCTTAATAATTCTCTTATACTTTACAGTATATACAGTATATTTTCATACAGTAGGTTCTTCATGAGCATATCTTTAATTTAATTAATATCCCATTGTACATTTTAGGAGTTTATTTCATTTAGTCCCTTTAAGATAATCTGGAAAGAAACCATTGTCTTAGATTGAATTTAAAAATTTTCACACATAACATGGTACCTTTATGATCCCTTCCCTTTTATGACTTAGTTGGAGCATAAAAAGGCCATTTTTGCTAAGATTGTTTTGACTTCATTGTGTTACAAGATTGCCTGTTGGCATAATTTACAAATATACATAATCCAATTTATAGAATGATCTAAAGTTCTTGTCTAACTTCATTTGTAAAACACCTTGCACAGCTCCTTACACAAATGATTTCTGATGAGAGACCAGAGAACAATGGTGAAGGCCAGTTAACCTAATTAGGAAGTTCAGCAATATAATACCTTGAAATTAATTAAATATTGAAATCTATACAGGTTTCTGGAATTAGGCTACTAGCCTGAAGCATACTTGTCCCCTCCTCTCTTTCACTGTGCCACTTTATAACAAAAAGGGACAAATGTCTTCCCAAATAACTCGATGTATCGTCAGGATTTTGATTTTTGAGCTATAAGGTGGAGAGGCTATACATCAGAAACAGAAATAAAGGGGATTTTGGGAAAGAGATAGTGGAGAACTGGGGACATTGAAGAGTCCTGAGTAAAAAACTAAGTA